ATGAGCGTAACATGTTTGACAAAATGATAGAGATGTGACCGATTTCAACACATGCTGCCAGCCTCATGTATGTAGTGTTTTCTGAAGCAATTTGAGTAAAACATGTCACAGCTATTATCCGTGTGGTCCTCACCTGATTATCTTCCTGTGTTTGTTTTGTTCTTGGTCGCAGTGATGACCTGTGGTGTCATCCCTTTCTGGCAGTTGCTCACAATCTCTTAAAATTTTCCTCTTCTAGGCTGTCAATGTTGTGAGCTTTGTCAGTAATAAAGAGGGTTGTGAACAGAGGCAGCACACCGACTCAAGCTCACCAGGCAGGAGCAGGTAGATCGGAACACATAGCTGGGCCACAGAAGGCATGTTTAAGTAATGGTTCTGAGAATTCAGAGCCTAATCAGATACGTATGTGTCTTTCATAGTCTCTACCTGCTGCCATGCCTGACATGAAGATGTGTTATTCCCATTAGTGGAACGGGCCCACCCTCTATGAGAAAACAGAGCCAGAGTCCAAACTGTTCTGTGAGTCTTCAGAACAGCTACCAGCTGATGAGGATACATTGAGTGTAGGGGTCCAGCATGGGGGCAGAGCAAACACATCTGTCTGACATCAGCAACACTGATGAAAACCCCACTCAATTTGTGAACTCAGCCAATCCATCTGGAAAATCTCTCACAGGAAATAGTTGGAAATGACATTTCAGCTCTGCTTTTCCCGGTCAAGTCTGAACCCTGAACCAGAGATTCAGAAGCAGCACTTCATCTAGACGCTGTCAACACTGACATTCCAGGCTCTTCAGTTCTGAGAATGATGCCAGCTATTTGGGGGTTAGCGCAGAGACTGAGGCTCTGGACTGCAGTAACAGACTCACGCTCACATCTGGATTCCAAGAAATGGATTGTTGTGCTGGTGGTTGATTCTGACATTTGCTATCATGAGATCTGAACCCTGAGCCTGCCATACAGTAAGGCATGTGGTTGGCATTTATAGAGACCCTGACATTCCACGCTGCGGTTCATGATTGGTGTCAGACAAAGGAATGTATTAAATGACTGCCAGCCTGGTGATAAGGCTGTCTATTATTAAGGTGTAGTTTCCCCAGGTCTAAAAACTCATAGTGTTGCCACTGAAGCATGCTGGGGAGAAGATAAAATTTAATTAATAATTTCTGTAGAGGCCAACAGTCTATTACCACTATGTTCCTGGATGTTTTTCGCAATGACCTTATGGCTCATAAACATTATAGATACACACTTGGTCATAGTCTCATCCCCAAGTTTAATTTATGGTTCAGATGGTGCTGCATAATGAGATAGACAGGAATGAAGATTTCTTGATGCTGGAAGCATCACAGGCTCTGCATACAGTAGGTGTGTGCCTCTCTCCCTTCTGTTCAGTCCGATGCCTGGATTAGAGAGTGCAATTTCCTAGATGAATAGCTTGCAGCATGGACATAAAGCTGGGCATAAAGGCAAGGCACGTCTCACTGGGAGATGACAAATTTGGTTCTCCATTAGCATCAAAGAATCTGTACACTGAATCGGGTGGCTTTTTTGGGTTGCTGTAATATTAAATGGAATGGTTCAATCTGATTGTTTTTAATCAATGTGAAATTGTAAGGAATGATGAAATATTGGGCAGATACTTCTCCACTGGAGTTAAATACATGCTCCTTCAATAGCCAAGAACAATTATTTTGGATCTATTATATATACTTGCTATATCCATAGGAGAAACAAATAGTCTTACTTATCTTTGGGATCAGTGCTTCAAAATGGGAAGAGTAAAAATCTAATAATTACCAGGGCTAAGGACATAGTTCAGTTGGTAAAGTTCTTGCCTTGAAAGTATGAGGACCCAAGTTCCATCCCCAGAGCTCACACAAGAATGACAGGCATGGTGGAACATTTATAGTCCCAGCACTGAGAGGGGGAGATAGGAGGGTCTCTGGGATTCACTGGCCATTGAGCCTAACCTAACTGGTGAGTCCAAGCTAGGGAGATACCCTGTGGCAAAAGAGATGGACACCTGAGATTATCTTCTATCCTCCATAAGCATGCTCAGGGTTAGCCTCTGGACCACCGAGAACTCAGTTTACAGGAACACAACCACCACAGCATTTGAAAAGCTCGGAAAGTCAAGCCAAGGGAGCATTTTAGATTCTTTCTGGCTGTTAGTTTTACCTAAATACTTGCATAAGGTTTTTCCTTTTTCCCCCCAAATCTGAACATAAGTGATCTGTGCTGAGGGCCAAGACAGAAATTTTAAAGAAAAAAAAATCCATATTCCTTGATCCCATTACTATGGAAAGTGCATTTCCTCCTCAAACTACTGCTGTACTTTGGAGACTTGGAGTCATGCTGACTTGATAAAACAGGAGAAACAAGGATGATTACTTTGGGATTCAACTAAATGGGGAAGGAAGATGTTGTGAATGTGTTGAATTTTTGGTCAGTTTGATTCTTCTCCATCCACTGTGTTTGAGAACTAGAAGGTTACTGCAGATGCTGAGGTTCTTAATAGGATAGCTTCAAACCTAAATAAGGATACTATTCTGAACCCTCTTCATGTATCCTGGACTAATCAAAGGAGCATGGGATCCAAAAATGTCCCCTGAAGTGGCTATCCTGTGACTCACTCACCATTTGTCACATTACAGAATGCAAAGAGATGGCTTACAGGAGCTGATAGTTCAGCTGGTTCATCCAACTGACTCCTCACTTTTCAAATAATTGGGAGATTATGCTCATTCTCTCTAGACTTTACCTTATTTCAGACACCATATCATAGCAGAGGAAAAGGAGAATTCCAAAACCAAAGACCTCAAGAGTTTGATTTTTTTTTTTGCCTGTATTTTTTAGAGTTGACCTATGGATTTTGCATACTTTTCATGTATGATGACTACCTCCCTCAGCCACTTCACTACCAAATTCTTAAACTTTAGTTAAAGGATGTGTGTGTGTGTGTGTGTGTGTGTGTGTGTGTGTGTGTGTGTATGTATGTATGTATATGTAGGTGAGTGATAGAAAGACAAAAACCAAGAGAGACAGAGGGGCTGTGTGAATCAAAATGTGTCTATAATAAGATCATGGGCTAATTTATCAAGTGTGGAAAAGATTCCTCAAAATTGCTATCAAATATCCTAAGTCAAACTGTTCTTTCAGGAACTCCCTGGCCCCCTCAAATACCTACAAAATACATAGGTAAAGTAGGGGTTGTTCCTTTAATACTATCAAATCAGGGCTGGAGAGATGATTTCCTGGTTAAGCACTCGCTGTGTAAGTGCAGGGACCCGAGTCTGAATCCTCAGTGTGTATAAAGCTGGGTGAAGTAGCACATGTCTACAGTTCTAATGCTCCTATGGAGAGACATCAGAAAGATGCAGAAGAATCCTTAGGTCGTCTACCATTGTGTACCCTTCAGAGAACAACAAAAGAGAGAGAGAGTGGAAGGAAACTACTAACAGCCAAATGGTCCTCTGAGCTCCACATGTGCACTGTAGCACGATAGTGTCCACATTCATACACATCACACACTCACAGACATGGTGAATAGCAAAACAACCAAAATCTAAGAATAAATGTTGCATAAAATAAAATGCATTTAAATGACAGGTTACTACAAGCTACTGAAAAAGTAATGTGGCAGAGGAATATTCAGGGACACATCCATCATATCCATGATCTTGTTCCTGAAGCACACTTGGTCAGAATCTCATCTCTCCAGGTTTAAGTCACAGCTCAAGGGGCACAGTATAGACTGAAATGAATACTTTAAGATGTGATGTGGGAAACATTACAGGATATGCATAAAGTATAGTGTAATATAAACCCTGCTTTGACTGAAACTCTGTAGGTACAGGATAACAAGGCACATTTCTATAAAACTATTCATGGAACCTGTGTTGGACACTTTAAGTAGTTCTTATTTTAGACTAACCACTTTCCCTTCAGCTGATTAAATAATATAAATATTTCACACTTTCTATTTAACTGTTTTGCATTTTCTCCAGTTTTCCAAAGGGCATACAATTTGCCTAATCAGTTAAACATCATGTTTTAAAAAAAATTTTTAATAGTAATGAATGTCAGAAGCTGTAAATGGTGTTTAAAAAGACAGCCAACAAGACACTTCCACAAAGCACCCCAAAGGGCCTTCTTGGAGATAAGTGCTTCTCTTTGTAAGTATCAACAGATACAGAATTACAAACATGTCTGCAAAAGTCCCCTTCGGAGGTGTGATTTCCATGAACAGGAAACAAAGACTTCCAGCACCCAGGGCTTTAACCAGTCATATCACTCCCATCCAAGAGATTTCAGTACTGTCTGATTAGGGCACAGGAGGAACCAGAATATGCTTCTTCAGGAAACAGTAGTAACTGACAGTGTGTGAGGATGAGCTTTAAACTGTCAAGTGGATAAAACCTAGAATTACCTGGGAAGAGAGTCTCAATGGGGGACTATCCACATTGGGTTGGCCCATGGCATGTCAGCAGGGGATTGTTTTAAGTTAATTCATGCCAGAAGACCCAGCCCACTGTGGGAATCACCATTCCCTAGGCAGTGGTCTTGAATTATATGGGTAGAGAAAGCAAGCTGAGTACTAAACATACATGCATCAATTTTTCTCTGTGTTCTTGACTGTGGATATAATGTGAGTGACATTTAAAGTCCCTAATGCTGTCACTGCCATGACAGACTGTAACCTAGACTTGTAACCCTTTCTTCCCATTTTGTCAGGGCATTTTATCACAGTAGCAGATATGAAACTACAACAGAATGTGAGCAGATCATCTGGGAGGACAAGAGTATAAGTACATTCATGTAATTTTTCTGGGTGTGCATGTTTGTGCATTTTTAGTACTTAATGAGCTGAAAATATAGACCACCCAAATTTATTTGTAATGATTACTATCTCAAAACCTCAAGTGCTGAGAATACCCCACTTAAAATTTGTTCCCTTTCTTTAATTATAAATAAGAAAATGGGATTTTTCAGCCTACCCGCCATTGCATCAAACTTCCAGTTTCCTCTACACAACAGAATGATGTACAAAGGTTTTCTCAGTAAACAATTCTAAAAACAAAAAGAAAGGTCATCTATGTCAATACCCAGGACTGAAAGGGTGATGTGTGAGCAGCTTCCGTGATCTAAAAAACCTGGATTATATGCATTTGTAAAATAAATGTAACCATTACTAAGTCAATGGTGTTTCATATCACACTGAAATATTGCTGCGAATGAAGCTTCTTTATGACCTAATTTAATTAAGTAGGGACAATGCCAACATCATAGCACTGGTGTGAAAATGGATTTATAGAAAGGCTCCTTGGGAGCAGTGGGCATTTCCCTTGCCACAGTCTGAAACACCCTTTTCACATTTCGAGTAGAAATGATCACTTCTTGTTAATGGCCAATGAGAACTAACATCATCTAGACCTGATACTCTAAATATATGGACCCAAGCTCATCATGGTTCGCTCTTAACTTTACTATTGGAAATGCTACTTAAATGATAGCCTGTATGAGCACAATTTCTTTTCATCTCTACCTCAGTATACTCCAGCATCACTCAGGCTCAGTGGCAGAGCACTTGCCTAACATCCAAGAAGTCCTGGACTCCACTCTGAGCATCACCTCCCAGCCCCCATATAACGCTGCTCATTTTTTTCTAGCTGGATCGATATCTTCACAAGGGAAGGTTTCTTTTTATTAACTTTAAGTTTGTCAGTTCCCTGGTAGGCTCAGGATAAAACAAACTTAAAATGCTATGATGCTTTTGATTGGACACACACATATGGTAGAAATAAACTTAGAACAAAAGGGGATTGGACATCAAAGTGTAGGATCAATTATCACAGACACAGAAGCACACAGAAAATGAATTGTCTAGAGCATGTGGAAACTACCATAATGCTCTTGTCTCAAGGGTCATTTCTCAGCCTGAAGACAGCTCTAGAGTCAAAACTTTGCTTTTCTGGGGCACATATGATAACAATGCTGCTTGAAATGTAGAGTGTGGTTCATCTAGGTTTTCAAGTTCAAAACCAGCCAGGAGACTGTTTTAAAGTTGGTACCTTCCTACTCGTCCCATGTTCTGATTAGGAAGACACTACCATTTCCAGGAACACTTAGCTTGGGATTCTGTGTCCACCTGTGTGAACCACCATCCAAGGCCAGGAGCTCTTCTGAGACTGAGCTACTCACAGGCGATAGAAGACACTTACAGTACCCTCTGGGTCCTGTGCGTTCCTAGTTCATAACTGCTGCTTCCTATTAACTGCTTTCTCCTCTCACCCAAGGCAATGCTTCTTGGTCATTGGAGAGCATGTGATTCTCTCAGCCTCTCCCCACAGCCCTCCAAACTAAGAGAGAAAAAGAAGGAAGACACATTTGAGTATAACACAACCTAACAGGTTCTCTATTAGAGACTAATCAGGGAAAGAGACAAAGTTTGGAAAACAATAAAAGACAGGACCTCATGGTTTCTTTTGAACCCCAGGAAGCTTTTCTCCCCAAGATTACAATTTGCTCAATGCTTTTTGCAAAGCATTCTATACAATGCTTCTCAGAGTTTATCTTGCTCATCCATGGCAACACTAAAAAGTTGTTCCTATGGTAACTCTCCACTTTGCTGATGGACAAATGGTAGCATAGGGAGGTCAAGGCTTTACTCAAGGCAACTTGGTACTTGAGTAGCAGACATAACATTTTAATTGGAGGTCTGTTGAAAAATCAAACAAATATACCTAACCAGTACTTATAGCAACTCTTGAACCTGTGTGCAGAGTTTCAAACTCAGGTGTTAGGTAGGTAGTTTCCATAGGTGGAACAGGCTCCAATTGGAATAAGGCAGTTTGGAATTCCCCTAATGATCTATATGGGAAGATCCCTATGGCCCCATTCCAGCCAGTTGTAGCCATGAAGAACCTGCCTATCACTGAGGACACACAACCATATCTTCAGAAGAAGAGGGACTTATGGACATTTGTTAACACTTAAAGCTTTTTACTTTCAGTTTACACCTGAAATGCCAATACTTTTGAAAAGTACAGAAAGCCCTCTGAATTCCAGCCCTGACTGAGTTTAAAATCTTGTCAACTCAATTCTATGTTAGTTGGGTGGAACTGGACTCCTTGTGTATGTTCCCAGCCCCTCTTCTTCATCCTTAAGTCAAATCTTGACAGAAATGATAGGGACATGCTTCAATGATGCACCACATCTGTGAACTATTAAGTCAACCAATCAGAACTTATGAGCTGGCTCATCAAGTAAACACCCTTGCTGCCAATGAGTTGGATCCCTGGGATCCACATGGTAGGAGAACCAACTCCTGCCAGTGTCCTCTGACCTCCACACATATGCCATGGCATAAGCCCCCACTAAATATATTTTTTAAGCAATCAAAATTAACCAGAGGTCAAATCTATACATCCCAATAAACTTTTGTACAGTTAGAGCAGTCATTTGAAATGGAAGCTGTGGAGCTTCACATTGGCTTTCACACTTTTAACTATCAAATAAATTTTTATGCACTTATTTACCATCACAATGAAAAAATATGAGAGAACCAGAACTATAAAAGCAATTATATTTATAGCCTCTTTCCTGACTCATCCAAACTTGGTTAACTTTTGTGTGTCATTTTTTCATTTGCATTAAAAATATAATTGCTGTTGGTTGTTTTTACTTTTAACTCTTTGGCTTTCTACTTTTGGGAGTCAGCCACCCAGCTTCCAAATAAATCACACAGGATTTTTTTTTTTTACTTATAAATGCTGGGCCTTAGCTTGGCTTGTTTCTTGTCAGTTTTTTTTTTTTTTTTTTTTTTTTTTTTTTTTTTTTTGCAGAAAGGGTTTATCTGTGTGGTTTTGGGGACTTTCCTGGAACTTGCTCTGTAGTCCATGCTGGCCTTGAACTCACAGAGATCTGTCTGCCTCTTCCTCCTGAGTGCTGGGATTAAAGGCATGCACCACCACTGCCCAGCTTGCCAGCTTTTCTTAACTTAAATTACCTTGTCTACCTTTCGCTTCTGGGCTTTTGCCTTTCTCTATTTCCATGTATCTTTCCTTTCCTCTTACTCCATGGCTGGCTGTGTTGCTGGGTGGCTGGTCCCTTCTTTTCTCACTCCTTGATCTCCCGTTACCCAGATTTCCCCTCCTATTTATTCTCTCTGCCTGCCAGCCCTGCCTATCCTTTCTCCCACCTAGCTATTGGCCATTCAGTTCTTTATTAGACCAATTAGGTGTTTTAGGCAGGCAAAGTAACAGAGCTTCACAGAGTTAAACACATGCAACATAAAAGAATGTGACATATCTTTGCATCATTAAACAAATGTTCCACAACATAAACAAATATAACACATCCTAAAATAATATTCTACAGCAAATAACAAAGTTTATAAAATCAAAAAAAAAAAGTCAATCAATCAATCACACACACAATGAGGTAAGAAGCCAAATGTTGGGCTCTGTCCCATCGGGGCTCTAGAAAGCCATCCTGAAATGAACCAGACAAGATAGTAAGTACCCTGTGTTCCCAGCTAGTGATAAGAACCAGCTCTCCTTCCTTTTCTAGGCTATTGTGGTAGCATCTCTAATGCTGCTGCTTAGGTGCACACTGGCTTCTATTGGTCTGACTGTAGTTTGTGTACTGGGGAAGAAAGCAATTCCTCTGAGACTTTTAAGTACAGCCCACTTCAAGCGTTTTGTCTAAGTGTTAGAGATGATGGTGAATTCCACACCCGGCTAGCACATTCTTTTTCTCCTCAGCACACACCCTGGTCAGAACAACAAACAAACAACAAAACCCAGCAGTAAATGCTCTCTAAATAGGGAGACTGAAGTTGTAAAGAACAACCCACAGTACAGTTTGGGGTCATCTGGGAGAGCACTCTCAGTGCTCTGGTAGAGGGTGTGTTTAGACAGCCTTTGGCTTTGCAGTCGGACACAGCTAACACCAGCTACATGCCTCTCTTGTTCCAGGCTGGCTCTCACCAATCCCTGCACTCACCAATCCACTGCTTTTGTTTCTTTTGAAGACTTTAGGATGGGAAGAGCAGTATTGCTCATGGTTGGTCCCAAGCATCCGGCACACACATGAATAAATATTTGTTGAATAAATGGATATGGCAAAAGGAAGGCTCAGATCAGTTGGGACTGAGATAACATCTATGTGGTGATTTATTCATTCAAATGTGTTGGAATAAACTCATGTCCCTAAGGAGTATGCTTGAGGAACAGAAAGGAGCTGTTGTTAGGTCGGGGGCTTCTGTGTAGCTCTGCGGGGTGGAAGCTGGGGGCACCTGCTGAGTTTTGTCCAGCCAGAGGAAAAGGGAGGAGGATTTGGGTGAAGTGTGTGAAAATGAGGGAAAGAACAGCTGGAACTCCAGGAGCAAATGGATGAGGAGAGGAGACTCCTCCGATGGGGTGTGTGAGGTAAGCTCTCACCAGTGTCCAGAGAACTCGCAGTAAAATACTACCATCAAATCTGTTGCTGTCATGGGATATGGCCAGCATTCAAAATATAACTCTGGGGAATTTTCAACACAGAAAAACAACTGTAAATGCAGGAGGGTCTTTCTTGGAGTAGACAGTCCAGGGTGAAATGGCCAGAGAAATACGACCTCAAACGATAATATGAGACTACTTGAAAAAGTGCACAGGACATCATTGGCTTGTGTAGATATTTATTGAGCGCTTACTTACTCAGTGCCAGGCATGTGTGGGGCCCTAGTGATACTGTGGCAAGCAGGGCAATCTAGCTCCCTTATGCTCAAGGAGAGAGAGAGGCATTGCCTTTAAGAAATGGGCTCTATCAGTGACAGGAATAGAGGATGAGTAGTGTAAAAGATAATAGAAAGGAATGGGGTTCCACGTTAACTAGGTTGTCAGCATCAGCCTCTTTGAGGAGTGGCTGCTGAGCTGAGATCTGAAGGGGAAGCAGAAGCTAGCCTTCCTGGGAGAGGGCAGACCTATGTGCAAACGATCCACCTGTGGGCCAGCTGTAGGTAAGTGATGGTGAGGAGGGCGGGGTCTGGGACAGAGAAGCAGGGGTTGGATGAGGCAACCAGAGAA